TAGCCCTGGTCATTGCAGCCATTTGGAGAGTGAACCAGTGGATGGACTATTCTCTTTCTTTGTCTCTGTCTCTGTCTCTGTCTCTGTCTCTCTCTCTCTCTCTCTGTATCATCTCTCTCTTTCTGTAACTCTGACTTTCAAATAAATAAATAAATCATTTTTAAACAAGGAAAATTAGAACTACCTGTATTAGTCCCTCTCTTTGTACCCATAATATCAAAGAAGGTATAAATCCTAGGATACTGTGGGTTTCTTTTTTTATAATTTCCTCCATTGTAATCTAGTAAAAGGATGATGAAGAGAATATTACAATTAACATAACTAAGATGTGAGGGAAAATGATTTGTGTTTAGAAATCAATGTGTCTATACAGATACCTGGGAGTTTTGAGTCAAATAGAGAGGTGATCCTGTTCATTCCAAAACTGACAAAGATTCTCTGAAGAATACTAAACAATACCAAGGATGTTGTTTTAGATATACTTCCTAAGCTATTGCCATTTTTGAGTAACAACTCAAAATTCTTCTCAAGCTCACATTTTTTAAAAACTTGTTCCAAATCTATTTGTACAGTGTCAGTTCTGTGGATAAAACGAGCTGAGGAACCCTCCCTCTCAAAATGTTGTTTTTGCTGGAAATTCTGTCCCGCTACCTACTGAGCTCCTTGAAAATGAAAATCTCAGTGTCTTCCAGATGACAGCCACCTTGTCGGTGGAACCAAAATAGCTCTCTCAGCTAGAGAGCTGTCTGTCAGTAAGAGTTGTGACAGATATCAGATTTGGTGAACAGGAGGAAGGTGAGAAATGGTCCCTGGAAGGAGGTACCAAGGGAGCACCTGACTAGCTAAGGAGCAAGGCAGATGGAGCACCCTCCTAGAGACTGGGCCAATTGCAAAGAAGCCAACAGGCATCTCTGGAGTTGACAGATAATACTGGGGGAGAGAGGAGCCCGAGAGAAGGGTGATATAAGTCCCTGTGTCAGCCATTGGCTCTTGTGGGGCTTTGAAAGCTCCTGACTGGATGTAAGATGCATCAAACTAGGTTACCATGTATGAAAGGAATGAAATACATTTACATACATGGGATTTTTTCTCCCCCTAGTGGTGGGGTGGGGAACTTTGAGATGATAGCCAATCACCTCATGATATTGCTTGCTTCATCAACTGAGTTTCCATTCTAGGGCATTTTGTCCATAAAATTAGGGTTTTCTTTAGGTGTGATGCTGTCCGTTATGATGGTTTTCAAAAACATTCCCAACCCTTCATCTGAGGCAGTGCAGTATCTCCTAAGTATGCTGGTTACCAGTGGAAAGGCAGGAGGTGTCTTGTTCTTTTTGACTTGAGATACACGATTCCCTCCTCATCTGAAGTCCTGCCAAAGGTGGAACCATGCTGTGCTCAGAGACAACTTCCAGGACCCCCCACTCTGGAAAACCCAGAAGAGCTGAATGAAAAAGAAAAAGCAAGCTTATCTAGAGTAGAGGTGGAAGACACAGACACTCAGGGGAGAGACACTGATGAAGGTTCTAAGAGTGACCTGAACCTGACAGAAAGAGTAATAATCAGAGATAAATTTTGGAAGAACTCTCCACATGTACATCCCACTTGCTATCATTTTAATTTTCGTCCTTGGCTACGTTAAAATACTTCCAGTCTCACAATTTGAATCAATAATGAAAAAGTAAAAAAAAAATGAAAAAGTAGAAAACATGATGACCATTTTAAGAAAAATAATTAAAATTTCCTTCTTCCACATGGAGGGATTAAATTGCATAATAACATAAACATACTAGAGTATTAATGGAAATAGATTATAGACAGATGTCCATTCAATAGGAAATAGATCAATAATCAAAAACCTCAATGTAAAGTATACAAAATATATGGCTTTCTCCCTTTCTGTATGCTCAGAGTTAGGCATCAATGATGTCTACTTGACTTCTTCTCTTAGATGTCTCCAAGGCAACCAAACATGTTTTCCTTGTAAACCTGTTCCTTATTTGGAATCTTTATCTCAGTGAATAACTATATCAGCCATCTAGTTGTGCAAGCCAGAAATCTCAGTTACGTGGCCTCCCCCCAGGCTTCCACAATCTTATTCAACCCTTCGGTCTCATCTCTTAAATCTATCTTAAATTGGTCAACTTCTCCTTGCCTCCATGACCACCCTAATTCATCATCCCTCTCCTAAACATTGCTACTTCAAAAAAATGTACACTCAATCCTATGTCAACTTCATTCTCTATACTGCATCACTTCATTCAATAACCTTATTTTTAAGGGTTTTACAGTTTATCAATCTGCATGAAAAATCTGTACAATCACTGCAGATGAAGTCACTGCAGAGTCTTTACGACTCCTACTTTTTACCAACACTGGCAATGGCCTTTGCAGTCCCCCTGATTTTCTTCATCCTATTTTTGCATTCATTTTTTTAAGATTTATTTGAAAGGCGGAATTACAAAGAAAGGAGAGAGAGCGAGCTTCCATCTGGCTTACTACCCAAATGGCTGCAGTGGCTGGGGCTGGTCCAGGCTACAGCCAGGAGCTTGGAGCTCCACCCAGGTCTCCCACATGAGTGGCAGGGGCTTAAGCATTCGGACCATCTTCCACTCATTTCCCAGGTGCAGTAGCAGGGAGGTGGATTGGGAGAGGAGCACCTGGGACTCAAACCAGCATCCATATGGGATACCAGCATTGCAGGCATGGCTTATCCTGATTTTTTTTTTTTTTTGGACAGGCAGAGTGGACAGTGAGAGAGAGAGACAGAGACAGAGAGAAAGGTCTTCCTTTGCCGTTGGTTCACCCTCCAATGGCCGCCGCGGCCGGCGTGCTGCAGCCGGTGCACTGCACTGATCTGAAGGCAGGAGCCAGGTGCTTCTCCTGGTCTCCCATGGGGTGCAGGGCCCAAGCACTTGGACCATCCTCCACTGCACTCCTGGGCCACAGCAGAGAGCTGGCCTGGAGGGGCAACCGGGACAGAATCCGGCACCCTGACCAGGACTAGAACCCGGTGTGCCGGTGCCGCTAGGCGGAGGATTAGCCTAGTGAGCCACGGCGCCAGCCAGCTTATCCTGATTAACCACAACACCAGCCCCTCCTTTCAGAGGTTCTGTTGGGGTCTTTTTCTTCTCATACAGGCCATGTTTTGCAAGTCCATGTTTGGGTTCATTTTTCTTTGCATAATCCAAAGAATACAAATCATGCCAAAACCAGTTTTCTTGTCACCATCAAAATGAGTTCTGAATCCAACTACAAAGAAGAGGTCAGGGTGGTCTTGTATATTCTGGCTAGCTTTTCTCGAATTTCTGTCTTAGGGACTATTGCCTTCTCAGGGTGGAGGACATCAAGGGCCAATTTTTTCCTCTGAAGTATTCAGTTGGTCATGAATTTCCCTGTCTGGAAAGTTACTGTGTCATTCTTGATGGTGGTCAATACTTTCCATAAATATTTTTGAGCGGCTTATGTTGTATTCTGGAAATACTATGGTGATTGGCAGACAAGGAACTTGGGGAGATGTAAGATAAACATCCACTAGTCATAGCACTAAGAGAGGAATCAAAATATAATGATAGAGAATGCATTTTTTTTGACAGGCAGAGTTAGACAGTGAGAGAGAGAGAGACAGAGGGAGTTATAGACAGTGAGAGAGACAGAGAGAAAGGTCTTCCTTCCATTGGTTCACTCCCTAATGGCCACCATCGCCGGTGCTGTGCAGATCCGAAGCCAGGAGCCGGATGCTTCCTCCTGGTCTCCCATGCTGGTGCAGGGCCCAAGGACTTGGGCCATCCTCCACTGCCCTTCTGGGCCACAGCAGAGAGCTGGACTGGAAGAGGAGTAACTGGGACAGAATCCAGCACCCGAACCAGGACTAGAACCTGGGGTGCCTGCGCCACAGGTGGAGGATTAGCCAAGTGAGCCATGGCGCTGACCCATAGAATGCATTTTGAATTGAGAAAATAAAGTAATTCTGCTGGGATGATGGTATGTGCCATCAAGGGTTTCTTGCTTATAGAAAGTGTTTCGTATGCTGGTCAAGAACTAAAAAAGTAAAAATGCACATGAACGCTCAATCTAGGTCTATCTCCAATCAACCTTGCTTAAAGGTAGTACTCTACCTACATGAAAATCTTATTTTTATTACTTCTTTTATGCTGTCTCCTCTCGCTAGAATGTAAGCTCCATGAACCCAGAGGCCATGAGTGCCCTGCTCTTGGCTGTATTTCCAATAGCTAAGAACCATACCTGACCAAGGTACCAAGTAAGTATCTGATGCAAAGGCCGGCACTGTGGCGTACAGGTAAAGCTGCCACCTTCAGTGCCGGCAACCTATATGGGCGCCAGTTCGAGTCCTGGCTGCTCTACTTCTGATCCAGCTCTCTGTTATGGCCTGGGAAAGCAGTAGAAGATGGCCCAAGTCCTTGGGCCCCTGTACCCGCGTGGGAGACCCAGAAGAATTCCTGGCTCCTGGTTTTGGATCGGCACAGCTTCGGCTGTTGTGGCCAACTGGGGAGTGAACCAGCGGATGGAAAACTCCTCTCTCTCTAACTCTCCTCTATGTTTAACTCTGACTTTCAAGTAAATAAATACATCTTAAAAAAAAAAGTATCTGATGCATGAATACCTGATTTGGTGTGTGAAGTAGGAGAGTTGATAGAGAAGAGAGTGGGTGTGGAGGTTCGGAAAGTCTTCCCGGTGATGTCAAGGTTATTTATTTCAGCTGACAAGGTTAACGGCGCTGTAAAACCTCGCCCAGGCTTCTGAGTTGACACACACTCACATTCACACACTTGCAGGCGGGCAAACACCTCTCCAACTCCCCGCTAGGAGTCGTCACACCTCCCGACCCAAAAACCCTCCCACGCTCTCCTCTATTTCCCCTTCCCTCCCCTCCCCGCCACAGTTCCGGCGACTTTCAAGTCGCAATGCTCGCCGGGAATAGTAGTCTTCCTGTCTGAGTCTATAAAGATTTTAAACATTTCCGGAACTACGTTTCCCAGAGAGCGTCGCGCCAGGGAGACGCTGCGCCACCTGACCAGAACCGTGGCGGTGCAATGGCGGTGCCCACGCTGCGCTGCGGCTTCAGTGGAAGTCGCTGGACTTTTGCTTTGGTTGACAGGGGTTGTCGCCATCGAACTGTCGCCACATTCAACTGGATAAGGGGACAGAGCTCAGTGGCTCAGCAGCCCCTCCACACGGCCCAGAAGCCGAGGAAAGGGTATTATTATTTTCATACCACTACTGTCCACTGAAAGTGTGGGGTGCTCCTGCGGGTCAGGGGAGATGATGGCCATTAACAGCCCAGGTTTAAGACGCTCTGGTGGGCGGGAAGGGATTGAGATACTCTCTGTAGCTCAGAAACCTAAATGAAAAACAAACCAACCACCCCGTGTGATCCTCGCCACCACACGTAAATCACTGTCTTCAATTTGGCGTATTCGGGGAACTTTCGAGTGTAAAATAGCAAGTATTTTCTTGAACCAAAAGCTAAGCAGACAGAGGAGTGGGTTCATACACCTTACTAATTGCCTCTGCCGCGGGCTGGGTGGCCTTATATTCGGGGTAATATTTAGCTCTCAGCGAGGGTTGAGCGCTGCTATGCGCTAGTGGTGTTCTAAAGGTAGACCACTCTGGAGTTTGTTGTGGTTCAGAGTCGTTAGAAAACACCAGCTCTCTACAGAGGCGTTTGATGTTTTACGTGTGTCTAAACTTAGAAGGATGCAGCCAATAGGAGCTATCTTCCCTCTGGTTATGTAGAGAGTTTTGCTTATTTTGCTAGCCATCCTCTGAACAGCTGTTTAATGCTTCACTGTAGAAGATTTAAATAGTTTCTTTTGAAATACAGGAACATAAGGCGCTTTTCTAATATTTGTTTATTCTTTGAGATTGGTTGGCATATTTTTGCTTTTCAGTTGGAGGAGCAGAGGGAAAATGTCCGGAAGCATTCCACTTCTATTCTTTGCATATATTAAATAACTTCCCTGTGAATGGGTAGTGTGTGTGTGTGTGTGTGTGTGTGTGTGTGTGTATTTGCCATGTAATGATACTGCAAAAATAATCTGAATCATGCTTTGGTGAATGCAGAACTCCTAGAGTTCTTGATTGAATTCCTCTCGTTTATGGGCTTCCAAACTTTAAAAAGTACTTAATCTTGAAGTAATTTAGATGTAGAACTTTGTATGTTGAAATGATTGAAACAAATGCCAATACATATAAACAAAAACCTGTATAATACACAGAGTTGCTTGGGGGAAGGACAGGATAAGAACATACGTGGATTTCATAGGGAATAAGCCACACTTAGGAGAACTTGGAAAGACCTGTGTACAGACCCAGCACAGTAAGAATGGCTGGATAAGAGAGATTTTTATAGCTTTTAACAGCTTCTTAGGTTTGATAGCAGTCAGGCATGAATGAACAAAGGAACCTAAAGTTGGATCTCAGGAATTGGAAATGATTTCTAGAAACAAGCAAGACACGTCTAGTGGGTTACTGTTTTCCTTTGCACAGAATTTTCAGGAATACCATTTAGTGGTGATCTATACCTGTGTCACTGTGTCATTGTACTTGCACATCATTGTTATACAGTGAATTCCAAACATGTTTGAGAATTTTTTTTTACTACTGTTATTTCTCTAGTTGCAGAATCATGCCATTTATGTTAATTCTAAGAAGTTTTTGAAAGATCAGCTCTCTTTCCTGAGTGATTAATTGATAAGGTGCAGTGAATTTAGAAAATGCTGCTTTTCGCTGAAGTCAGCCAAGCAGTTGTCACCTGATACTCGTTTCTAAATTGTTCTAGGTGCTAAATTGTTTTCCTCTCTATCACCTTCCAGTTCGTACAGCAAGCCTGGTGTCCTGTTGTAAATGAATTTTACCTTGCCAATCTCACTGTAGGTGTTTCTTATACATTGACTTGATGTAGTAACCAAAACAATATGACACATTTCTAAATGTAAGGATATAAAACTTTAGTACATTAAAATCAGGTATAGGCAATTAACCTTTGGGATTTAGGCTCCTAAAAGTTGATACGTGGTGAAGAATGTAACTATTTAACCTTTTTATCTCTTTCTCTTTAGTGCGCAGGAATGGGCAGCTGTGGTAGGTTTGGAAATTCATGCCCAGATTTCTTCCAACTCTAAACTGTTCTCTGGAGCTGAAGTCCGCTTTGCAGCACCTCCAAATTCTTTGGTTTCTTTTTTTGATGCGTCTCTGCCTGGAACTCTGCCGGTAAGTGTTTGTTTAATCCTATTTTTATTGGAAATGGTTATGTCATTTTGATCATAGTTAGTGATGTCTTTGTTTTAGTATCTGGGCAGGACTCTTGGGAAATACTTCAGATCTAGGTAATTGGGGGTGAAGTGGGATGGGCTAAATGTTTTCGAACCACCCATCTTTGAATCTTTTTCTAAGTCTGAATATTTCATGCACGTGTGAGTATTCACTCATTTCACAGACATTTTAGAATGCCTCCTAATTCCAGACCCTGTGCTATATGAACTGGCTCCTACAGATGAGCAAAGATCCTTGCTTGTGAGGGCCTCAACAATTGGTAGAGATGTATGCTATAAACAAATAGAGTGCAGTGTGGTCGCTCCTGTGATGGATACATGCAGAGGATACTTTCACAACCCAGAGGAAGGACACTTAAATTCAGTAAGAGGAGGGATAAATATGAGATAACTGGGTAAGGAAGGGTTGCTGCAGAGTGATATCAAGCTACTCTTTAAGAAGCCAGGGGGGAGTTGGGCAGACACATGAAAAAGGAGCAAGAGTCTAACCACAGGAAGCAGCATTGAACCATGGTGTTACAGGGTAAGGTCCATAATGATTATCATAATTGAAAATTAAGAAGTGACCATAAGTGAAAAAAAGCATTAACCACAATATGCAGTGAGCTAATGACACATTTTCATTTAACCCTAAAGAATGGTTGAAAGTCCAGTCCACTGATCAGCAGATTTTAGGCATCTATTTTCCTGTAATTGGCTGAATTTTGAATAAAAAGATGGGAGGAACAGTGTTAATCTTTGAGCTAATAAACAGCTTATGGTTTGTCCAGGACCTGTAGTATCTTCTGGGTGTGCAGTTCCCTGCCATCTTCAGAGGTGTTGTGTATACATGGTGATGATGAGAGGCGTGTGCAGGGCTCATCATGGGTGAATTCCCTACTCTTGGACATCTGAGTGCAGGTGAAAGTGGGTTGAACTGAGCACTGACAGGTTTCCAGGGACAGAGGTCTGCTTCTCTCAAAGTTTCTGCCCCGTGGAAGAAGTACCTCCCATGCCTCCATCTTCCTTAGGGCTGTTGTTGTACTGGGACAGAATCTGTGTCTTCGAACTTTTTTCTTCCTTGTGCTTTTTGTCACGGAGGACTCCCGTTCCTGCAGATCATGTCCATCCAGGATCACCTTTGATTTCCTGCTGGCTCTCTCTGGGAGAAGACAGGTATAGAGAGATTTCTCTCTCTGCATATGTATAGCTGAGAGTTTCTATGGAGTTTTTTGGTGATTGTTTGAGAAGAGACAGTTCTTGAGTTTTAAATACATGAGTACTCTTTGGGTAGACTCAGTTATAACAGAAATAAAATAACATCTATTCAGACAGGTGAAATGGAAGACAACTCATCACCTTTTTCCTTTTGAATTCAGATTTTTTTTCCCATGTAGTAGTTGATTATCAAGAGACTGTGCATAAACTCTTGAGTTCTTTCTAGGCTTTTCCAGCTGGGAATGTAATATCTAACAGGATATCTGGGAATCTGATATCTAACATGGTTTGCATTTAGAACATCCATTTGCAGATAGGCACTTTTTTTTTTTATAAATATACTCTTCAGTTGTGCCTAAGGGTGGCCAAATATTAAAGATGATTTAAAATAACTAAAATGCCAACTTGCTTTGAAAGACTTTTTGTCACATACCAAAAAAGAAGGTGTTGGTCCAGTAACAAGCATATAATAAAACAGTGAAAGTGTTTGGGACACTGAAGCATTTTGGCTTAGGTTAATTGAAGGGTAAAGAAAGGCTAGACACAGATTCGCGTGGGCTAGGATTTGTTTTGCCTCTTCAGAGCCTTCAGTATTCAAGGTTGAGTAGCCTCAGTGGTTTATTTTTCCAGCAAAGCTGATCCGCCTCCTTTTCAGAAATGTTTAGGAGTATGTGAGCAAAATTGTACCAAAACTTCCAGAATAAAACATCGGCACTAACAACATTTCAAAAGCTTGTGATCTACCTGTAAATCAGTTTGAAATGTACAAGAATTGTGGTAGCTGTCCTTGTTTAAGCTCTATGGGGGATGGGTATAATGGTGCTCTATCCTGACTCTGCCTCTGGGAACTACTTGTCACAAACCAAGAATTTACGAGTGTGTTTCTGAGGCTCGGAGTAGAATATTGCATTACTGTTTTGATTGGTTAAACCACGCAGTATGTGTGGTTCATGGTGATACTCAACAACCTCCCTGCCCAGGACTTATCCTGTTCCCTTCTCTCCCCATTAACTCATGGACTTCCCTTTCTCATGCTCCGTTCTCTGGCTTTCACTTCTCTTCCCTGTGTTCTCCTTTCAGTCTTCTTCACCTTCCAGTTGAGTTCCTGCCTCTTTTCCAAGTAACAAATCTGTTTCTCATGTCCTCCTGTGCATTACCACCTGAATGATGTATCAGCATCTTGAATTCAGCAATTAAAAAATGGAGCCTATTATCTTTTTTCCCCAAAATTTTACCACCTCATGACAAAAGAATAAACCAACAAGTGGAAAAAATAATCTGCTAAGAAATGGATGTTGGGAGTGTGTGTGTGTGTGTGTGTGTGTGTGTGAGAGAGAGAGAGAGAGAGAGAGAAAGAGAGAGAGAGAGGGAGGGAGGGAGGCAGGGAGGGAGGGAGAAAGAGAGATCAAAGAAGGAAAAAAAATGGGAAAAGGATTTTTTTTTAAAAGATTTATTTATTTGAAAGGCAGTATAAGTGAGAGAGAGAGAGAGAGAAAGAGAGAGAAGGAGACACAGAGATCTTCCATTTACAGTTTTACTCCTCAAATGGCCACAGTGGCCAGAGCTGGGCCATTCTGAAGCCAGGAGCCAGGAGCTTCTTCCGGGTCTCCCACGTGTTTGGGGGACACAAGTGCTTGGGCCATCTGCTGCTTTCCCAGGTATATTAACAGGGAGCTGGATAAGAAGTGGAGCAGTCAGGACTTGAACCAGCGCCCATGTGGGATGCTAGTGCCACAGGTGGTGACTTTACCTGCTACGCCACAGTGCTGGCCCCTATTTTATATTTTTTTAAGTTATATTTATTTATTTGAGAAGCAGACAGAGAGATCTCTAATCGTTGGTTTATTCCTCAAATGCCTATAACAGTTGGGACTAGGCCAGGCAAAAACTGGAAGCTGGGAAGTCAATGAAGTTTTCTCACATGGATGTCAAGAACCCAGTTAGGGGGCTGGTGCTGTGGCGCAGCAGGTTAACACCCTGGCCTGAAGCACTGGCGTCCCATACGAGCCCCGGTTTGAGACCCAGCTGTTCCACTTCTGATCCACCTCTGCTGTTGCCTAGGAAAGCAGTAGACCATGGCCCAAGGGCTTGGGCCCCTGCACCCACGTGTGAGACCCGGAAGAAGCTCCTGGCTCCTGGCTTTTGATCAGCGCAGCTCCAGCCATTGTGGCCAACTGGGGAGTGAACCAGCAGATGGAAGACCTCTCTCTCTCTCTCTCTCTGCCTCTTCTTTTTCTGTGTAACTTTGACTTTCAAATAAATAAATAAATCTTTAAAAAAAAAAAAAGAACCCAGTTTCTGGAGCCATCACCACCACTGCTCAGGATCTGTATTAACAGGAGTTGGGGATCTGGAGCCAGGAGCTGGGGATCATACCCTGCCACTCCAGTATGGGATGCAAGTGTCTTAACTGGGAGGCTAAATGCCTGCCCCAGGATGATTTATTTGATAATTTTGGAAAAATTAGCTATTTAGAAAAGTATATAGTTCATCTCATATATCAAAAAAATTCAAATATATATATATATTTACAAGCTAAATATAACATTAAACCTAAAATATTTAGGAAAATATTCTTCTCTCAAAACGGGAAAACTTTCTAAGCATAAAAACAAGAGCAAAAACTCATAAGGCAATATGATGGAGAACCGACACTTTTCTCATCCAGCAAATATTTACTAAGTTACTAGTTCTTTGGGGGATTCTATCCTGAAAACTCATGTAAAATGTGGGCAAGGGCTTATATGCAAAGAGTTGTCTAAAGTATGTACTATGAAAAAACTGCATGGGTTTCAGAATTTTTTTCTGCCCAAGTAAATTTATCTTTTAACTCTATTTTTCCACAAACTTTTGGAAACACCCTTGTATACAGAGATGTCTGTACCAGGACTAATTATAATAGTGGGAACTTGGAAGCACTAGAATTTCCCAGTAATGGGGACTGATTTGAGTGTATTAGGATACACTCTGTAGTGGAACATTATGAAACAAAAAAGGAAAGTCCTAAATATAAAACTTTCAGTAAGATATAATTTGCATATAGGCTACTTAATCTTGTTTGCCTCTGTTTCATACTTGGTAAGTGAGGATAATGTGTTTGCCTCATTGGATTTTTGTGAAAACTAAATGAATTGATGCCTTTAAAACGCTTCAGATAGTGACTACGGATAATAAGTGCACTGTAAATCTTACTACTAGCGCAGCCTAGCGAGACTGGTGGCTTTCATCTTTCTAGAGGTTCTCTTGAAGTTTATAGGGCACACTTCTGTTGCTCATGACAGCAGAATTAAATGCTGCACACAGCAGTTGGTTACTTAACCTTTATTGTGTGAGTTAAGTAAGATAGTCAGCAAAGCTAACCTGCTGTTTCTGTCATCTCAGAGAAACATAGAGAAATTAAATGGGCAATAAAAAATTGAGAAATACCATAAACTGAGTGAAAGTATTTCTGGATTGTGAGTAATGACTTTGCAAGAGAGAAGACTGGCAAGAGTTTTTAAAAAGATGCCTTTATTTATTTATTGAAAGACAGAATGACAGAAACAGAGAGACAGACAGAGACAGAGATATCTTCCATTGGCTGTTCTATTCCCCAAATGCCTTCAACAGTCAGGAGCCAAGAATTCCATCCTGGTGTCCCGCGTGGGTGGCAAGAATCCAAGTGCTGGGCCATGCTCAGCTTGCCTTCCAGGATGCATTGGCAGAAAGCTGGGTCAGAAGCAGAGTAACTGGGACTTGAAG